TGTTCATTTCAAATTTTACATTTCAGACAAAAAACAATTTTTAAGTAAATTTTGGTTGGTATTTATTTATTTATTTATTTATCCTGCCTTTATTATTATTATTTTTTATAAATAGTGTATTAGAATAATGTAATAAGGTGTAATAAGATGTTTCTGTATGCCAATGATGGCGAACCTTTTGGGCTTGGTGTGTTAAACATTCAGAAAAAGCCTGATTCTGTTGACATATCTCTCACACACAGACACAGAGAGGGAGGGAGAGGGGGAGACAGAGAGAAGAGGTCTCTCCGGCCTCCTCTCCAGTGAGGGCCTCCTATGGAAGTTCACCTCACAGCCCTGCTCTCATGAGGCCCTGGAGCCTTGGAAAACGCAGGCTTGCATGATTGTTAAAGGCCTCAGGGACCTGAGGGTCAGAAAAAAAAAGAGTTTCATCAGTTCATCCTCATTAGTGTATGCTGTTGGAAGGCAAGATAGAATATAGTACAGCTAGTCCTCGACTGACAACCACAATTGACCCCCAAATTTTCATTGCTAAGCAAGACAGTTGTTAAGTGAGATTTGCCCCATTTTACAACCTTTCTGCTACACCTTTTAAGTGAATCACTGCTGTTAAGTTAGTAACATGGTTGTTAAGCGAATCTGGCTTCCCCATTGACTTTGCTTGTCAGAAGGTCACAAAAGGTGATCACATGACTCTGGTATACAGCAACCATGATAAATATTTGCCAGTTGCCAAGCATCCAAATTCTGATCACATGACCATGGGGATGCTGCAATGGTCATAAGTGTGAAAAATGATCAGAAGTTACTTTTTTCCCATGCCATTGTAACTTCAAACAGTGTTGTGGTCATAAATCGGGAACTACCTATATAAATTAGATTTGTCAACATTGCATAATTCTTTTATTGAAGGTCTGTCATATATCAGACAATTATGAGAAATTAAGAGCAGCTTTATCCAGCTTATATGGGCTTGGTATGCTTTCATTTTTAGCAGTCAGGTCATCTCATAATCTTGAAGATGAAAATCCTAATATTTTTATTCTCTGTTGAAGAATAAAACCAGTACTATAAATAAGAAGTGGCCATCCTGTGGACTGCATAAGTTTTCAAGTGGCTCTGAGGGATTTTTTATTTGTTTTGCAGTCCCCCCAGTTTCCTGTTTTGAAATCTGGCAGAAAGATATCAGAATGTAGTGGCATAATTTTAATAGAAGTAATAATGTACAATAAGCTTATTAAAATTCAGTAGGCTTAACATACCATTTTGTTTTTCAAAAAAACAAATTATAAAAAAGCTAAATAATAAATAGCCCAAAGTTCTCTACCTCATTCTACCTGGTGTCATCACCACTAAGTGCCCTGCAGCTCTCATTGTAGGGGGGGGGAAGTGCCACTTCTCATGTTATTAAACAAGAACTATACATGCTTCAAGGCATTACTGCAGACATGTCAAACACAAGGCCCACAGGTCCAGTTCTGGCCCATGGGGCTGCCCCGGAGACAGCAAGGCACCGGCCCCCACCATCCCCGCCCACCCAAGCCTGGCCAGGAGCCCCCTCAGGCACACGCACAGGAGGTGGCAAGCACAAGGCCAGTGGTGCCTGGCAGCAGCTGCAGCCTGACAGCTCCTTGACCACCCGTCAGCTGGTGCTCTCCGGGATTTCGCAGCCTGCACAGTGCAGGTGGGTTAAAGTGATGCGGCCGCCAGGCGGAGGCAGAGGTACGAGGTTAGGCATGCAATCCGGCCTGCCAGGCAGCCAACCTCCCACCCTGCCCAGCCGCTCTGCCTAACGTTGAGTCAAAGTGTTACAGCCGCTGGGCCAGCCCTCTGAGTGGTAGTCAGTGGCAGAGGCGTGGGGCAGAATGCACACATCTGGCCCGCTGGATGTGCGAGGTGGCCAAGAAAAGACAGACATAACCACCATGCCATGGCCCCTGCCGCCAACTTTGTCCTCCAGTTCCACTGCACACATGGGACGAGCCTCCCACCCATCCCCACAACCCCGATGGTCCTGGGAAGGGCAAGAAGCCCCCCCTTTCCCAAGAGATAGCCAGGACTCCCCTCCCTGTTGCTCCACCAGAGCACAGCCCTGGAGCTGCCCCATGCGTGGCCAGGTACCCCTGGGAAGCGGTATCAGGCCAGGTTGCGTGGTCCCAGTGCCCTGGGAGCTCGAGGGCTGGCTGGGCACCCGTTCTCTCCCGCCCAGGGCCCCAGGCCCTCTTGAGCCCTGCCCTAGAGGAATTGCAAGGTTCCTGCGGTGTACCAGGCCCCACCACCTGCCCCAGCATCTGCCCCCTCTGCTGGAGCTCTGCCTGACCCCCCCCAGGTGCTCCCCAATGCGAGTGACATCGATCTGGCCACACCCACCTGACTGTGGCCACCTAGTCAGCCACATCCACCTGGCCCCATGAGGGCCACAATGCTGATGCAGCCCTCAAATTAAGGTTGACACCCCTGCATTACAGCCTTAGGGATCACCAAAGTATATATAAGGAGTTTGCCTTGATGGTTGTAGGTAAAATCACAAATCTGCTTCCAGAAGTAGTGCATTAGCTCAATTCTGTTCCATCTATATCAGGCATGTCAAACTTGCGACGTCACACATGACATATTGGGACTTTTCCCCCATTGCCGGCAATGGGGTGGGCGCAGTTTCAGTGTGATGCATCCGGCCCGTGGGCCAGCAGTTTGATAATGCCTGATCTAAATAAATTTAAGCAGGTTTTTTTCTGTGATTGATTGATTGATCTTGATATTCCGAAGTTTAAAACACATCTAGTCAGATGATAAATAATCTGTGTATGAGTCTAAAAGCTCAGGAAAATTAATTTTATCTGTGTGCAGTAATCAAAAATGTATGAGCCTCTGCTTTCAGAATAAGCATCAATGAAAATGTCATTCCCAATGAAAATGTATGAATAGGTTTCATTGAAAAATATATGTGAGGGGATAAGAAAATTTAACTATGTTGTTATGCTTATGATTATATTTCATTCAGAAATTCAGTTATGAGGTAATAAATGTGCCTAGATCAACTCATCTGCTAGAACTGGGGATAAGCGTATGGCAGTTCTTGTCTAAATGGGTTTCACTGTTGTTCTGGCCTTCAGTGTGTTGAGGTGTATGAACATGGACCATTTCTGAAAATGATTTGCTCTCCTATTTCCAAAATATGTATGTGTTAAATTTCCAGAATAAGAACATAAGAGCTTGGCTGGATCAGGGTCCATTTAGTCCAGCATCATGTTTCCAACAGTGGCCAGACAGATGCTTCCTGGAAATCCATGAGCAAGACATGAAGGTAAAATCCTTACCTGTTGTGCTTGTTCTGGAGCTCTAGGTGTCATTTCTTAATGCACATTCTTTGCCAGCCCAGAACTAGTAAAGCCTGAGGCTTGTAGTAGTGGAATTTCCACTCTCTGTGAATATAATTTACTGTTAGTTCTTGAAATAGTTTACATTACCATGAAATAAATTCTGACTTCAAGCCCATCTTGTTGGAAGTCTGAAAATGGGCATGTCAAGAAGGTACTACAGCCACTTAACTCATTCCATCTATTCTTCTAGCATTGTTTTTTTATTATCTTGTTAAAAATATCCTTGTTAACTCCAGCACTTTCTTGCTAAAATTGCCCCCTTTCTTCAAATCATATTTTTTATTTTCCTTGTTATATTTGATTCCAGGTTAAGTTTACAGTGAATGAGCTTTGTAAGTTAAAGTTGTGTTTTGGTTTACTTACTGAACTTGAATTTTTATGAGATATTAATGTTCTTGGAACTCTTATTAGGCTTATGAGATGTGATTAATAGTATAAAAAAGTAATATTTTAATCATTACAATTTAAGGTAATATAATAGCACAGTTTTTATTTAGGAACAATTGTATTACATGAGCAGAGTTTGAATCTATTCATCAATTATTATGTTCAATGAACAAATATATAAAATTAAATATATTCACAATATCCAGAACTATTTATACATTTGAATAATAAAGAATCTTATGTATATATAAAATAATTGTGGTTTTTTGTGTTTTTTTTCAAAAAAATTCTTATAATATTGCACATATATTTTAAAAACTAAGTAATATTCCAGGAAAAAAAGTTCTGGATTTAACAATTAACCAGCCAGGCTTTCCTTACTTTTACAAAAAATGTATATGAAAGAACTCATAAGTGCTTTGAGAGCAAAGAGCTTAAGCTATTGGAGAGTACAGAGTTTGTTATAGAAATGTCTTGTATATACAGTAGTAGATTTATCTGTTTCGCAGTTAAACTGCTTTCAAATCCAGATTTCTAGAAAATTTTGATTTAAAACACGTGAAATCTGTTTGTCTATCATATCTGTGGGGCCAAGTCAATAATTTATTCAACAAAAACTAAAGAGGCGTGCTTATTCTATATGCTGTATAAATATCTAAGAGACCAAAACAATGGAAGCAAATTACTAGCCCAAGTCAATGGTTTGCACATTCAAGTGAATTCAGGGGCTTCCTTGGACATTTTTATTGGACTTTTTGGATATATTGTGAGATATCAAATAATATATACATTTCTTTATTGAATTTATACAGGAATTGAAAGACAAAGGAACCAATATTAGAATCTTTAATATTCTAACTGTGGCATGCTTCAAGTGCTATGGCCACCTATATGTGCTACTTAAGAAGCACTTGAAACTATTAATGAGTATTGTTGTAATTCCATTAGAATTCCTAGTATTTTTGTGTTAACTATGATATGAATTAATTTCATAAAATTAGGCATTTCCAAAAATGGAAATTCCTCAAAAAAAGATAGCATGCCATGTTTCTGACCATCCTCCAACAAATCCATTCTCTAGTTTTGTCTTGTTCTTGGATCAGAAGAGAGAAGAAAGATTAGAATTATGCTGTGAAAAGCTAACTAGTTAAAAAACAAGAAGCCATTTTTGGCAATTTGAATTTATTTAGCCATAGAATTATTGTTCAAACTTTTTTTCTTTTTCCCTCTCAGTGTGCAAAGATCCACCGTACAAAGTTGAAGAATCTGGGTATGCTGGGTTTATTTTGCCAATAGAGGTTTACTTCAAGAACAAGGTACGTATTGCTGTTCTTTCAATTTCTCTACACATACCTATTAAGTTCTTTAGATTTCCCCTTTAAATTACCAATGGCTAGAGATAGCTCCATAAATGTCAGTGTAAAATTTAGTGATAAAATTTAATTTGTCATAGATTTCACAAATCCTTTTCAGTTCTTGAAATATGCTTGGAAAATCCAAATGGACTGTCTGCCGATGGAATGGCATCAGTTCAAGAAGCAGATTCTCTATCTCCCTTGCAGCCTGTTGCCATTCTTTCAAAATATATAGTGAGTTGTGAGATGCTGCTAACATATTCAAGAACAGATGGAGAAGTTTTGTTGTTGAAAAATCCACTAATGCAACATTAGATGCTATCCAATAGCTAAGGAAATTGAATTCATTATAGACACTGTTGCAGTCTTAATGGAAGTGATTAACTTTCATAATATATTTTGAATATTGATAGGGATTTATAATTGAATAAAATTATCATATAGATGAGTTCAAACCTTTAACACACTGCTTTTTAAGATATGATAATTTAATTTTTATAGTAAAATTATCTCTGTGTTAAAGTTGCTCTGAATAAATGCTTTAAGTTGTTAACTTTTATTTCAGAAGAAAAAAATTACCTGCTTATATAGTGTCAATAAACCAAGAGATACACAGAAACATATGACCCATGACACCTAGAACAACTAGTTAGGATATTTTAGTTAGCTTCATTAATCTCATTTGTATACAGGGTATTTTAAATTTATTTAAGATTAAAATGTAAAAGCTGGATTTGGTTATTTTCAATCGTGTATTGAATGTTTACACTTTATCTTTAATGAAATCATTTACTATAGGAGCTTACCTATCTTTCCCTTCTTTTGAAAGGAGAGTTGCTTACTTTTATAAGTTCCCATAATAAGAAACACCTTTCTAGGTGGTAGGTGGTAAAAATCTAGAGCGGTATGGTCTAGACCAGTGGTGGCGAACCTATGGCACGGGTGCCAGAGGCGGCACCCAGAGCCCTCTCTGTGGGCACCCACGCCATTTCCCCAGTCCTAGGCCTTCAGCTGGGTTTTATACAACTTTTTAGCTTTAAGCCTCCACCGCCATGTACAAAAAAAAAGGTTCAATCAATCAGTCAATTTCAACTTCTCACAAAAAAAAAAGATCTTGCAAAGTTGGAATTGATTGATTGAACTTTTTAGTCCCACCCAGTCTGCCATTACTACCGCAGCCACGCCCACCCAATGGGCCACACCCAGCTAATGGGCCATACCCAGCCAATGGGCCACACCCACCCAGCACCCGACGATGCATAAGTGGGTTTTGGGTTGCAGTTTGGGCACTCGGTCTCTAAAAGGTTCGCCATCACTGGTCTAGACTTTTTAAAGACTTTTTAAAGGGTTCCATGAAATCAATAAATATTTTTAAAATTCTCAGTTTTAATGTGTACTGCAGTAAATAGTGATAGATATAATCCACATAAACCAAAAAGTTTTGGATCAGTCATTTTTTTAAGAATGTAAAGGAGTCCTGAGACCAAAATGTTTGAGAACATTGTGAAATGTTTCTGACTGATCTGCAGTGGGAAGTGTAAATAGTTTTCCAATTTTAATTGATTCATACTTGCCCATTGCAGGACTGTTAAACACATATCACAGTTATTTTGTGAGTTCTTTTGATTTCAGGAAGTGTTCTTTAAGGATGTATAGGAGGGAAAGTAGGGAAAAGCAAAGTATTTTGGTCAAACTGCCTTCTCATGTGGTGTTGGTTTTCTTCTGAAATGGAAAATGAATTTGTAAGATGAGAGACAGACATTATATTTTGGAAGAATAAGACAGTTAGATAATGCTTTGTTAAGGAAGGATGCCGCTCAGTGTGGTATTTAAGAATGTAAAAAATAGTACAGTTTAGAGGAAATTGAGGATTTGAACTTACATCTACCATCTGTTGTTTTGGCCAAGCTACTACATTTTACCCTAAATAAATTTCAGACACTGGAAAATAATGGATGTCACTAGAAATAAAAGTGAGTTTATTTTTTTAATTCAGCTCTATTGTTTTGAAAATAAGCTTTTTAATGTAGTGTTGTGACTTTTAATATTTCATTAGATGAATTAGAATCAAATCGTAGCCGGTAGCCATCCCTAAAATAACTTGCTTTGGTCAAGAGATATTCCCTGAAAAATCTAAATATTTTGAGTATCTAGAAATTTCTTAAAACACCCAAACGTTTGACTTTCTAGGGTAAGAATATTATTTTTTTCCAAGAAACTGGAATATATTTTCTACTTTTATAAATAGAATGGAAAGAATTACTTTTGACAAACAGTCTAAATTCCCACTATATCTATATAAACATTAAATGGCAGTATATTACTCATAAATCTTTCAGTACCGGTTACTGGAAAATGAGAGTGGAAAACTGAGCTCTTATGGCATGCTTATGCTTCCTATGAGGCTTTTGGCTGAGTATTGAAATAAGAAAATACTAGACTACATGAACCCTAGTTCTGATTCATTATGTAATCCGGGTCCACACATTATTATTTTACTTTTTAACAAAGCTGTTGGCCATTCTGAACTGTACAGAGTACTGATGGTTATCTGTTACTTATGCGATGTACATAGAAGTTCAGAATAGAGTAGTTTTGTGGAGTTTGCCCAATTGATTTCAAATATATTTTGTTCATGTTAGGTCCTATTCGTGTTGATTTCTATGGGAGATAGAAAAGATAAGTCCTTTTGGTGGTAACAGTGAACTTAAAATATTGTATTCCATATTAAATTATATGTTACTCATACTTTAGATTTTGCTTGGAAAATAAGGGTTCTTTTATGAACTTTCAACTCATGTTTCTTGGCAGTATATATATAGTAATTTGATTGTTTTCCTTATTCTATAAACTGTATTACAGTTGTCCAATACATAAAGGTGGTCCTTTCTTAGAGAATTTGCTAAACAACTCGACTTTTTGTCAAGCAGTGATAGTATAGCTTGTATAACAATTCATTTCCATCCTGAAACAGCTGAGGTATAATTAAACTTTTTTACAATATATGTAATAAAACCTTTCATAGACACAGAGGAAAATTTTCACTGAGATGCTCTAGTGGACATCAGTTTAAAGTCATTTAGGCACACAGAGTTTTGTACACATTTCTTCTTACTTTAACATTTGGGAATTAAATACAGTTTGATTTAAGGCTGCCATTTTGTGTGCACATTTCAGCTTAATCTAGTGGAAATTACTTCTGAGCAAATATGTTTAAGCTTATGATGCAAATCAGTGTTAAATATTTGGGCTCCAGTCAGCATTGCTGACTAAATTCTACTTTAGTAATTGACTGCCAGATAATTTTTGTCTAATTTACACCAAAATTTATTTTATTTTTTGTTTAATTTAGTTTAGGCACTGACTACCAGATAATTCTGGCAAATCACTATCTTTTAGCCTTGATTCTTTGTTTTTAAAATGGAGGAAATGGATTTTTATACTGTTACTTTAAATTTATATGTGATCATAAAAATTTCCATTTCACTGTTTAATTTACCTGTTTCCAACTTGAGACTCAGATAATATCATCAAGCAATAGTTGAAAGTATTAGTGCTGCTAGTAATAAAGAAAAAAAAACATTTGACCAGCTACATGGGTGTCATCTTAATAACTGCAATAATCTATAGGAAAAAAAGAACTAAAACAAGGCCTTATACATCATAATTAGCACCTTGGGTTTTTTTAATGGATAATCAGTGCCAACTTGGCAAAAAAAGGTTAATACGGTTATGGTAGGCACCTGTCAAAGTTTAATGAAATAATTCCACAGTGTAAAAGAATGTTGAAGAAATTCTGTGTGAGTGACTGACACAAAATCAACTGTAATTTTGGAAGTTTGATTTCATCAGAATCAAAATAGCCTTTTCTTTCTCAATAATTTAAAAATCCCAATTTTTCATGAGTCCCAGGTCATAACTGAATCTGGGAAGTCCCAAACCTAAATGTCTATTCACTTTTTAAAAATTAATTACCACAGTATTTTATGAATAAATGAATGTAATCTATAATATTGGCATAAAAGCCAGCATGTAATATAATGTCAGGTTTTTTCCCAGTTTTGTCTGACTGTGTTCTAATCTGTAGGAAGAACCGAAGAAAGTCCGCTTTGACTATGATCTGTTCCTGCATCTGGAAGGACACCCACCTGTAAACCATCTTCGCTGTGAAAAGCTTACTTTCAACAACCCAACAGAGGAGTTCAGAAGAAAGCTGCTTAAAGCTGGCGGGGTGAGTTTATATAAAAACAAACAGTAAATCATGAAGTAAATTCTATGCACAGTGAAAGTTGTTTCCCTCCCTCCGTAGCAATTTTTTTAAAGTTGAAAAGCAGCTTTTTTTTTTGCATAAAAATTCCTGATCACATAAAATCGGTACAAGAAGAAGCCAGTGACGCCAAATAAAACTGAAATAGTAGCAGGGATGCAGATATTTTATACCAGGATAAAAACCAATATTGCAAAAAAGACTCATGTCTCTGTTCCCTAAAGGAGCTCCGGAACCTAATTTTCAATGTTCAGATGATTGAATACACATGTGAAAGAAAAAGTAGTAGTTTACCACTTTATTAAGAATCTTTACAGGGAGTCAAGTTGGCAGTTAAATATGGACTGCTTTAAAAGTATCTTCAAATCAATATTTCTTCCATTTTTCTTGTGTTTAATCTACATACCAATTGAAACAGTAAGGTTGGGTCTATAAAAATAGATTTGCTTCTTTGAGGAAAAAAGGATTTTTTTTGTTAAGAAATTGAAAGCTCATTCACTTTAGAATAGCAAATTCAGTGTTAATAATTTTTATGTGGCTTCCCTCACCCCCAAAAATCCTTTGAAAGATTACTTTATATTTTACTATTTGCTGTGCTTAACAATATATTAAAGAATTTCCTCCAGCAGAGTTATTTTGGGATGGGGTTTGCATCTTTTATTGAAAATTTCTGCAAAATATAAAATGAAACTTACATTTTGCCTCTTAAGTATGTCTGTACTTAGGTTAATAACTTAAATAGTAAGGCCTGTTTCTTTTTGCTATCATTGCAGCCACAGCCACATTTGTTTAGAATGTAATTTCATTTGAATTCATAGTTCTCAGCTTAATTTTTGAATGTAACTTAGTTTAATGAAGCATATAGGATATTTCATTCATATAAAATACTTGGGATCTCTTACACACACACACACACACAGAGAGAGAGAGAGAGAGAGAGAGAGAGAGAGACCAAGAAATTCATATTTTTACCCAGAATAACCTGCAGTTGTCATGGTATCTACATAATTTGTTGAGGAAAAAATGATAAGCATTGGCCAGCAATGGCTAAATATTTCTCATTTAAATTCATAAATATATAAAATTGTTTGAACCATATTTTACTATCCAAGTCAAACTCAGATTTGTAAATAAGCAAGATGACCATATATAAGCAAGATGACCATAACTTAACCAATTATTTTTTTTTTGTTACTGAGCATTCACAAAAGTAAACTTGGAATAAGCCATGAAACCGCAAACAAATCTTTGAAACACACACTTCCTATTCTTATATTATGCTAAACAGGCAAATCACATGATATGTGTTCTCAGTCGGCTTTTTGTTTTATACGCCAAAAAGAGCAGTAGTATCTGGATTGCCAAAAATGATTATAAATCTTTAGAAAAGTTCCTCACATGACCATTAGAATCTTGTTATTTATATATGTCTGTGAATCACATTGATTTCCAAGATTGATGTGGCTGATCTGGCTGGTTGGGTTGGTATCTCTTTTTTCCATCATTGCTCCATTTTCATCTTTCCCAAAACTGTGAGCTCTGTGGAAGAGGATAATAATGTCAAGATCATGATGCAGAACAGACTCCTTTTTATTACTCTTAATCTATAAAGATATAGAAGAAAAGACCAAATACAAAACTGAGAAGAAAACAAACATAGATTAAGAAAAAAAGATTTTATTGAAAGAAATATTGTATGAAACAAAAAGCTCAAAGTTCAGTCTTAAACAACAAATTAAACATTGACCGATATAGGATAAAGAAATATCTGTTTAACCTTGTAGGGGTGAAGAATTATTGAATTTGTTTATGCTTGCTGTGATAAAGGTTGGAATTATTTTCCTTCCTTCCTTCCTTCCTTCCTTCCTTCCTTCCTTCCTTCCTTCCTTCCTCTTCTTTTTTTTTCTTTCCTCAAATTTAGATACCCATATCATTCTCAGAATGACTCTGGGCAATTCGTAACTAATGATATCATACCTTATATTCTTTTTGTTTCTTTTTTTCTGCATTTTTTATTCCTTTCCATTCTCGTTTCTTTCTCTAAGTTTAGTTTATGTTAGTTTTTACTACTGTATTCTGAATAATATTCTTACATTAAAAACATTAAGTAGAGTAAAATAGATTGGACTTCCCTAATACTACAAGACCAGTCCATATGTGCAGTATGTTCATAAGAAAACATGATTTTATCCAGGGTTTTACATCAGGTATACTAAAACCTTTCTATGAAAGTAAAATAATATTATTAGCTGTAGCCCATGGATGATAAATCCAAAGTTCTTCATACTTAACCTCCAAATGTTCAGAGTATATTATGTTTCAATACCACCCTGAGACTAGAGACAGGCCTCGTGAAAGTAGAGGCTAGAGTATGGGTGACCATACTCAACTACTGGCTCACGTTAACTTTTTCTCCCTTTAACTGCACCTCACTAACTATGAGTAATGATTTTCAGTCCACATGGAAAAAGACAGTGCAACTAAAAATCTTATCCTTGGACTTCTCTCCAGATCAGCATGGGATACGATTAGGCCAAAGCACTCATTAAACAACATATAGCATACACAGAGCACCAGTTGGACTTAGCTATGTCTCCAAGTTTTATTGCTAGTGAACCCAACCCAACAGATATTCTCCCCCCCCCCATCCCGGCATATTTAACTTGAAGTACCAAATTGCTGGAGGGCCTTGTCCCAATGCAGGAAGTCCCCCACCTGGGGAGACAGTGTACCTGTAATTATGAACATGCAGAAACAACAGAACATGTGCTTGTACTATAGAGATATTTGTCCTAGCCTCATCTCAACATTATTGCATAAATATCCAAGGAGCTTAGGACAATTTTACTTCTGCTGCTTTCAGACACCAGCCCTGCTATAAAATACAGTGTTGCCAGGTTCTGCACGGCAGCACTTAAAATCCATCAGAAGATAACCTGTGGTATAAGCCAGTTTTAATGAGCACCTGGCTCATTGTTCCAGAATGATTTGTATTGTAATAGATTTAAATTGCCATAATTCTCTATGCCCGTCTATTATTCCTATCCCTTTTTTATATCTTTTTTAAAGATTCCTTTTAGATTTTTATGTTTTTTAAAGCTTTTTACTTTTTTTTTTAATCCTGATGTATCTTTTACACTTTTAAATTCACTCTCTTTATTCCGGTCTTTGACCATAATAAAGTTTTGATTGATATGTTTTGCTGCTTATTTCTATTTCCAATATAATTAATTATTTACCTAGAACTGTAGTTTTTCATCTGGTCATTTATGAATTCAGACAACTTTCCCTCCGAGTGAACTTGGTTTCAAATGAACTCTGGGCTGTCTAGGTTGGTCTTCAGAATCTAAGGGATTCAACAGATGGTACATCTGACTTCATTGTATACATAATATGAACATTCCAAAGACAGCTAGCATAGGTGCATAAACCATGTAAAATATATGTATCACCTAAATGTGGTGGGAAAATAGATGAATTTAAGCTCTTTGGGGTTTTTCTGATACTTAAAAAAAAATAATGGAGCAGAAAGCATTGGTGTCCACAGAAAACTGATTATGTGAAAATGAATACATGCTTGCAGTGATGTTATAATGTAGATCTTACCAATTGTGAACTTGCAACTCTGTACCTGACTTAAATATATAAGTCATGAGTTTTGTGTCATGAAACCAAAACTTGTCCCCTTTATCTTGTGGACTTCAACTTCCAGAATTCCTCAGCCAGTGTACCTGGCTGAGGAATTCTGGGAGTTGAAGTCCACAGGTCATAAAAGGGCCAAGTTTTGAAGACCCCTGATATAAATGCCCTTAGCAGAAAGCAGATCATTTCATCCCCAAACAGTCCTATTTATCATTGTTTTCTTGCCTATTTTGGCCTGGTTCCACTATGGTTAAGTATTAGTATGAAAGTGGGAGGAATGTCCCTGTTTTGAGAGGATTCAAGGATGAGAATAGAGTGTCCCATTTCTCCTTAAAATTCAGATAAATCCACACATATGCATACAAATAAATTCTGCTCCTTCTGATAACATCACCAGAACGCTTGAACGTCTGCAGCTTTTCAAAAGATTGGGAGGCTGAATTGCAATCCCTAACTCTTCAAACATTGCTACCTGTGGTGTAAGGGAATCAGGCCTCCAGGATGAATTCATCAGGCTTCTAATTTTTATTCATGTCATTTCTTTGTACAGTATATTAATTTTTATGAGCTTCTAAAGCCACTGTTGAAGATATTTTTATTGCTTCAATCTGTCATTTCAATACTGGTGACAGCCATGTGGCATTAATAAAATAGTTGTCATACAGCCCACAGAAGAAATCATAATTGTCAGTTTATCTAAGATATTTAATTGTCTACCTCCAAGATCCTCACTTTATATTCCAGCTTATTTTATAAATGTTTCTAATATTTTTATTACTTTATCCATGTAGATCATGGTTATGTCAGATGGAACATCAGTTGCTTCAGGGCAAAGTCTTCATCTCCCTAATCTTCCTACTAATTCCCTGTCTTTTTCTGAAGTGAAGAAAAAATCATCTCATGGGCCAAAGGTAAGATGTTGCCTCTGGTTAGAAATTGGAATATGTTTTGAGTAGCCATTTTGAATGTTGAATGATCAATAAGCCAAGAATTAATTGGTTAAATGCTTCAAACTTTTCAGCAAATCTACAACAATTAAAAAACAGACTTGTAATCTGAATATTTAGGGTTAGTTACGTTTGCTCCTGAAATTTTTACAACCAAATATATGCATTACCCTTATTTTATTTATTTTGCCTATTCGGATTTAAATATACTTGATAACAATTACCCGCTTTTTGTCCTGACATCTGAATTCTAGAGTTGACACAGCCTGCTGAGAAACAAATTAGTAGAAATGAAACATGTATTTATTAGGGATATAAACCTACTGTAAATTTCATCAGCAGATCACATGTTATATTGGGACTATATTCTCTTTATCCTTTGCATTCACCAGTCCCGAAATCTGGTCTGGATTTGTCACATGTTTTGGTAGCAAGAAAGAGGAATGCAAAGGAAGTTCCCACTCTTCCAGTAGAAGTGATTCCTATGTTGCCATGGTTCAGTTTTAGGCCATACCCAAATATGTATTAACCAAAGGATGTTTAAATGTTCAAAACTGTGTGCTGGTGAATTAAATGAAGTTACCACAGATTTAAAAGTCTTTTCAACTTAAAAGTTTATGTTGACACCTAAATAAAGCCTACAGAATCTTTTAGTATTCGAGCAAATGTTAACAACATCCTACCACAAATTCAAATGACTTTAATTGGGGCAGGGGAGCAATAACTCAGTTCAAACGTTCAAAATAATGACTTAAATGCAGTTTAAATGAAGTCCAAATACAAGTGATACTTTGGTGTCTCAGGAAAATAGGGAGCAGGATTTGTTTGGGAAAGATACTGTATGTGGCAGGGAGATAGAAGATTTGCAAACTAATATACAGTTGTGGAATGAATCTTTAAAAGTGTTGGAAAAAGGGGGATCTCAAATAAAATGTGAATGTTTGCCTCCTGCTGTTAAATAGTCTTTCACAGTAAAAAAAAAAAATAGGACCACAAAATCCAATGTGAAAGTAGGAGATGGCACCAATTTGGAGAGAAAAATCCGCTCTAGAAATAGAAACTTACCTTTTTCTATCACCTCCTTCATGCAAAGGTACAACAGCTTAGGCCTTTGGAATAAGGGGTAGCTAAGTCAGTATGGGGGGGGGGGTGCAGTGGCTCAATAGCTAAAGGCATTGAGCTTGTCAGCTGGAAGGCTTGACAGCCCAGGTTCAAGACCCGAATGCCACATGAGCTCCCATTACTTGCCCCAGATCCTGCCCACCTAGCAGTTTGAAAGCATGCAAATGGAAGTAAATAAATAGATACCACTTTAGTGGAAAGGTAACAGCGTTCCATGCCCCTCGGCATATAGGCATGCTGGTCATATGACCACAGAAATGTCTTCAGACAACGCTGGCTCCCTTGGCTAAGAAATGGAGATGAGTACCGCCCCCTAGAGTCAGAGAAACAGAGATGAGCACCGTCCCCTACAGCAGAAGTGCCCAAACTTTTGGGTACCAGGGACCGGTTCTATGGAGAGAAGTTTTTCCGCAGACCGGAGGGTGCGTGGTTTTGTGTGTTGCCTGCATCCCGCGGATGGGCCTTTGCTTGTTTATGCAGACTGGTTGCTGGCATGCCGCGGCCCGGTACTGATCCACAGACCGGGGGTTGGGGACCCCTGCCCTAGAGTCAGAGAAAAAGAGATGAGCATCGCCTCCTAGAGACTCAACTGCAGGGGAAACCTTTACCTTAAGGCTGTATGAGAGGAAAATATTGATGTGTAGTCTCCAAGAATATTTTCTCACTGAAACCATCACAGAATCTGTGAAAGCAGTGGTTTGCAACTTTTGTTTCTTGGCTTACAGCCTCTCTCTAGCTTTCCTTGAAAAGGTTGGGAGAAAAGATCATAACTTTGGAACTCTGGGGCATTCTTCTCTGCTTGACTAAGAAGGTAAAAAGGTGAATACACCCTTCAGTAATTGCCAGTGTAGATGTTGTAGTTATAGATTAGCAACAAAAGAAACAAAGGCTGGAACAACCTTTGACTGGCTTTAGCACACCAAAACAGAGAGACATCCTGGAAGGATGATGACATTGCTGTGGAAGCTGAAAATAAATATTATTATTTAAAAAGTACCAACCTTATCTTGATTGAACCATTTAGAGGTGAAGTCTTCTCCTAATTAATTTAGCACATTGTCAAGAATACTGGTAAAGCTCATAGCCAGGTGGAGATAATGCTTGTCACACCCAGATATTCAGAAAGATACACAGATTAAAGTCCTGGATCATTATTTTATTTTTCAGAAAGTACATTTTATCATTTAAGTTATTAAGACTACACAAAACCACATTTCTTGGCTTCTAGGAGTCAGTGATCAACTTTTAACTAACTCATTATGGGTGGTTACTTTTTAAAATCCAGATCTCTTACTTAATTCCAATATGTGGGACATGAACATAGTTGCTTTAAGAGCATTTCCACATGTCAATTCACAGAAGATATGCTTAGAAAGAAAGTCTGTGTTCACATTTATTTATAAGAATTTTATATTTCAGTTCTAACAATATTTCTAGTTATTTGTTGCATTTTATCTTCACTTTCCTTAGGTGGCATACCCAGTAATTCCCATACTCCCATTTTATTGCAAGAATAATCCCTGAAGAGGATTGCATTATGAAATAGTGACTGGTTCAATATGTATTAAGCCATATTTAGCTTGCTTGGGTTTTCACTGGCTTAACACGGTATGTGAATCTAATCAGAGTCTTGGCCAAGTCACTCAGTTTGCTCAGATTGAGAAAGAGTAGGCCTTTTATTTTTATTATTATTATTATGAGAGAGTGCATATAAAACATTGAAGTGAAATAGCTGTGCTTGGAGCAGGTGAGAGCAGCTTCAGAAGCAGTCATGACCAGCTCTTTAATGATTCAGACAATGTTACTATATGCATGCTCCCTTAAGATACAAAATATCTCTTTTGAAGACTTTTCATAATTATAGTGTGTTCCTGTGTACTTAAAAAAACAAAAACAAATCACTAAAAGCTAAGTGAAATAAAACTGTTTCAAGGTAATTCTGCAACCGAGGTGGTATCACATATAAAAAACAAGGATGTCCTGTTTTTCATTCTTATTGCTTTAGCGTCCAGGTTTATATGGAAGAAGGTGTCCTATATATTTATATCAATCTCTTTAGTGTAGCTATGCAAGAGAAATACTTGAGAGGAAATAGAAAGGGCAAAGGAGGAGGAACTATGTTTTTGTGCAGGCGAATATTTTAATTGGATTTAGAATTATTTTTTTTCTAAAATTGCTAAGAATTTAAGTTAGTGAGAAAATTACAGTGCAACAGAAGACAATTCATGGTCAACATATAATTTATGAAGACCACAAAAGTTGTCAAGTTTTGATCACTAATCATTTTATTATTGGTTAATATAAGCTAAATTCAGAATTTTACGTTCAGATTTTGAGTGTTGAAATAGGAGATAAGAACCACATCATACCATTTAATAATAGGGTTACCTTGAGGCGATGACAGAAATGGCCTCCAGATATCACAGATGGGCATATTAGTGGAATATGTTGTGCTTGACATCAACGGTCACGGCAACTGTTAGGGAGGGAAGGTGAAGCACAGGAAAGATCAGAAGTGGGGGGTGGGGGGTGGGGTTTTTATTATAGCATTGTGATGTACTTGTGATGCGTTTTTTTTTTTTATGATGAAAATAATAAAAATTTATACTTGGAAAAAAAAGAAGAAGTGGGTGGGCAAGTAAGATATGCCAGACTAAGTGCAGTAGAGAGGAAAGATGGACAACATGCTCTAACCATGTTCTACTCATCTCTCAAGGATCTTTCCAGAACAGAACAGTGAAAACTGAAGCATCTGTTTTTTGAACTGTGGCCAGCCAAAATGATTTGGCAGATCTTCCAGAATATGATCATTTGTTCTGGATTGGAAACAAAATGTAATCTTCTTTTCATACGCAAAACATAATTTTTGTCCTGCACAATTATGAAACAGGTTACAATTTTCTCCTCATGGTTTTACTGCACTTTCGGACCCATTCACAAGATTTTGAAAAATGGTCATAATGGAAGGAAATATATTTTTATAAGCATTCACTATCATTTCTAAATCAGTTCATTTACTAAGCCTGCTGAATGGTACTTGTTGCAATACCAAATGTGCAGCTTGGTATTATAAGTGTAAATTATGCATAATTAAAGTTAACAAGAAGTTTCTTGACTCACTAAAATATTTCATAAGATTTGTTTTCTTACTCTATTCACACTTTTATTCTTCTGTTTTCATTTAAGTGTAATGTTTCTTCTACAGTCTACCATATAATACACTTCAGCTATTGAAATTTAAAGATGAGGTGGTAGTCACTACATGTAAAAACTGAGGGTAGACCATTCTTCAACTTTAGGTGGAAACAAATTCTTGATTAAGTTCAATTATAAGTAAATATAGTTATAGGTAGTCCTTGACTTATGACCATTTGTTTGATAATTATAAGCCAGCAGTGTGCTGCAGCTGCCAAAAAAGCCAACACAGTACTAGGCTGCATTAACAGATCACGTGAAGTGTTAATACCACTTTACAATGCCTTGGTAAGGCCACACTTGGAATACTGCATCCAGTTTTGGTTACTATGATGTAAAAAAGATGTTTAGACTCTAGAAAGAGTACAGAGAAGAGCAACAAAGATGATTAGGGGACTGGAGGCTAAAACATATAAGGAACGGTTGCTGGAATTGGGTATGTCTAGTTTAATGAAGAGAAGGATGAGGGGGGACATGATAGCAGTGTTCCAATATCTCAGGGGCTGCCACAAAGAAGAGGGAGTCAAGCTATTCTCCAAGGCGCCTGAAGGCAGGACGAGAAGCAACGGGTGGAAACTGATCAAGGAGAGAAGCAACTTAGAACTAAGGAGAAACTTCCTGACAGTTAGAACAATTAATCAGTGGAACAATCTTTCTCCAGAAGCTGTGAATCCTCCAACACTGGAAGTTTTCAAGAAGAGACTGGACAGCCATTTGTCCGAAATGGTATAGGGTTTCCTGCCTGAGCAGGGGGTTGGACTTACTTAGAATCCATCCTTGAAAATATAACCTTTGGGGCCAAATGATCGCAATTTGGACACTTGGCAACTGACTTGCATTTACAGTGGTTGCATCTTCTTGCAGTCACATGATCACAATTTGTGATCTTCCCAGTTGGCTTCCAACAAGCAAAATCAATTGGGAAACCAGATTTGCTTAAAGATTGCATGGTTCTGTTAACAATGTGTGGTTTGGCTTAATAACCACAGTAAAAATGTTTGTGAAATCAGGTCCAGTCACATGATGACTCATTTAACAACCACATTAGTTAGTGAATGAAATTCAAATCCCAATTGTGGTCATACATCCAGGTTTAAATGTAAGTTTTAAACCTGTAATTTTAAACTACTGAAAATTATATATTGATTGAATTCACGCAAACAAAGATAGGGTTTTCTTTACCAGTTGGCTTGCTTTGAACAATGTTCTTAGCCACAAACTATAGGTATGTTAAACCAAAATAGGTTATTATTTTAGATATATTTTCCATTTTTTCAAAGATCTGTTGCTAATTCTGTGGGAATTGTGTTGTTTCATGCTAAAATTTGTAAATTCAGCATTAAAAATTCTATTTCATAGTTTCATGAACCCACAACATAGAAACTACCAAGCTGCATGTGATTTTATTAGCTTTCCAAGATGAAACTACAAATACTGTACATTTTATGTGATTAATTTCAGTTTTGTTAACTTTGGCGTTTGCCAGTTTAGTTGGAAATTTTAGGAGTAGAAGTTTCAACATCTGGAGAGCTTCAGGTTGGGAAAAACTTTTCTACATTGATAGGCAGGAACTCTCCAAGGTCCTGTATAATTTTTTAAAAATATTTTGGTTAGAGCAGGGGTGTCCAAACTTGGCAATTTTAAGTCCTGTGGACTTCAACTCCCAGAGTTCCCCAGCCAGCATAGTCTTAAAGTTGCTAAGGTTGGGCACCCCTTGGTTAGAAATTCTCTAAATTAAAGCTTAGGCTTGTTCCCACAATCATAATCAGGTTCCCAGATTATCAAGGCCCTATGTTTTGTTACATTTTTAGTAATTCCTTTCTACTCACTTTTAACATATTGTGAATTCTGTTTTACCTCAGCATGGTTAATAATCTTACAACATAATAGTGTTTCATAAATGTTTTGCTCAGAATAGAGAATAACCATCCTCATAGTACTTAATCATTTACTACCCAGCAGATGCTTTCATGTGTAAACAATTTTAGAAGTCTTCAATATACTGTGGAATGTCTGTAGAATCTCACAAAAATGTCTTTTGATACCTCTAAAACGTGCAAATCGTGGCTGTCCTCGACTTACAACCATTCATTTAGTGACTCTTTAAAGTTACAATAAGACTCCCTTTTTACCACCCTGTATTCCCTCAATTCAGTGTAGAGTTGGAGGTGGCTGGATGGAGCTGAGAGCTTACTGGCTGGATGCCCTTCCTGATGCCACATGGAGTTCACAGCAGATTTTTTTTTTCTTTGTGCCGTAAGCAGCAGAAACGTCTGCTAGGATTGAACTCTCAATCTTCCAAAGTGAGCGTCTTTACCACTAGGCCACAGGTAGGCAACCTTGGCTCTTTTATGACTCGTGGACTTCAACTCCCAGAATTCCTGAGCCAGCCGCACTAGGCCATCATGCTGCTCACCATTCAAAGTCACAATAGCACTGAAAAAAGTGACTTAGGACCGTTTTTCACATTTACGATCATTGCAGGATCCCCATGGTCACGTGATCAAAATTAAGCTGCATGGTAATTAATTCATATTTCTGATGGTTGCACTGTCCCGGGGATCATGTGATCACCTTTTGGCCACCTTCTGACAAGCAAAGTCAATAAGGAAGGCAGAGTCACTTAACAGCAATGTTACTAACTTAAACATTGCAGTGATTCACTTAACAAGTGCGGCAAGAAAGGTAGTAAAATGGGGCAAAATTCACGTAACAACTTAGCGGCAGGAATTTTGGCCTTGATTATAGTTGTAAATCGAGGACTACCTGCACAGCATCTTTATACAGTACACTGAAATTTTATTTGTTGTGGTTTAAGCAAAGAAATAGTCCAGTAGACATTGCTTTGGTACACAACTATTTCAAGTTTGTTATTGATATATAACATAAAGTTTATGCATTAATCCATTAACATAAGTAAAGTTTGCAGAGCAGCAGCTTATGGGAGGTGTCTCTGAAACACAGAAGACGAGAGCGAAGAGTTAACTTTGTATTTTCCATTGTTGCAGGAGCTGAGCAAGAGTGTGAGCACTAGCAGCAGCAGCAGTAGTAGTAACAATTTTTCAAAGCCCCATAAATTATCAAAGGAGCACAAGGAAAAATCTTCAAAAGACTCAAAAGAACATAAAAGTGCCTTCAAAGAACCTTCCAGGGAACACAACAAATCTTCCAAAGAATCCTCTAAAAAACCCAAAGAAAATAAACCACTAAAGGATGAAAAAATTGTTCCTAAGATGGCCTTCAAAGAGCCCAAGCCTATGTCAAAGGAGCCAAAATCAGAAAACAACATACTGACCCTAAGTGGTGGACAGCAACAAGAAAAGAAGGCTGCCTCCAAAAGGCCTCCCGGTCTGGATTCTGAGGACCTTGCCGCCAAAAAGAAGAAGCGAAGTGCATCGGAGGCTTTATTTAAAAGTTTTTCTAGCGCTCCCCCACTGATACTTACTTGCTCCAGTGTGGAGAAAAAACAGACAAAAGACAAATCTCAGTTTAAAATTGGGAGAGTTAAAATGGAAAGTGAGCCGCTGGAGAAAAAGAAAAACACATTACCCCCTTTCAATGATATTGTGGACCCTAATGACTCCGATATGGAGGAGAACGTGTCTTCGAAGTCAGAAGTAAGAGTTTGTGCTTATTCTTATTTTGTGGTCCCGTTGCAGGTTTTGCTTTGTTTTTAATTTTTAAAAATGTCTTGTTTCCATAATATTCCATAATATATAGAATCACAATGCTTCTTTGAGGCTGATGAACCGAGGTATATTCATCTCTTCCATTTCATTTTAATAATTAATTTGAACTGTCTCCACTGCTTTATCATATACTTTATATTGGCTCTCACCGTTTTGAAAACACTCTTATATTCTTGGTTGGTTCTTGGTGTTCTTGCTGAGGATTAGTGAATGATGGCAGCACATTTATGAACAAGATAAATTCATACGTTAAAAGATGAAATTTAGAAATGGGATTTTTTTCATTTTTTTTAACATTTCTGTCTTTGGAACATAGGACTAGATCCTTGAAATGAATAGGAAAAGATGGGCTATTTATTTTTAATTTGCCTCTGCTATTTCAAAATCTAACAGAGAGATTTGGGGCTTTGAAGCTGTGAGCCATGTTGTTTGTTAAAATAAAGAGATGAAATACATTACATAGGGTGAGTTATTACTATACGGAAATTCTCCACTGCAGATCAAACTTACTGTAGATATCTTTGTTGTTGTTATTCTGATCAGCCGTGGAAAATAAAAAGTCATTGTCACTGTCTAATCTCACCTCATTTGAGGCTAGCAGCCTTCTTATGGTGTCAATATGCTTGTGTAGCTGATGGAATCTTAGGTCATCGTGGTTACTTCCTGTATTACAGAATTGGATAGATCGACCCTCTGTAATTTGATAGCCTGTGATTCATATCATTCTAGTCAGTAGAACTGTTGGGGAAGGCTGGACAATTAGTTTGCGCTGTTGCAGCACTGTAGTTATCCAACCACTGAAAGACAGGAATTATCAGATGAGCTATCTAGAAATATGAAATATAAATAAATAAAAATAATAGCAAACATTACAATGTGCTCTCTGAATATAAAGAGCTTTCCATATTCTTCTTTCAAAAATCAGTCAGCATATTCTGTCTATGTTGTTTTGATAGATAATTTGAAACTTATGGGTATACCTGCTAAGATAAAAAGAAAAACCACCCTAATGAGAAGTGAATATATGCAAATTTCTCAAAAGTGAAATACTGGAACTTGATTTGAGGTGTTAGATAACAAGAATTGCCTTTGGCTATCAGAAATATTTCAGCTCTGACAGTTGTTTGATGCTTGCTGGAATGAGATGCTTGCTTAATATGAATTGTATATACAGTAATGTGCACAACACTTCCAATTGGAATTTTAATTTCCAATTAAAATATATTGTTGGTTTGACAGAAAATTCATAACAGTAATTCTCTCTCTCTCTCTCTCTCTCTCTCTCTCTCTCTCTCTCTCTCTCTCTCTCTCTCTCTCTNTGTGTGTGTGTGTATACAGTATATCTCACATGCGTACATACACACATTTTCTTTATGACAGCCATGATAGAAACAAATTTTAAAAAGTGATAAGACAAGGGATGATAAAGTAACACTGTTAAATCCTACTTTATTGGAAAGGAGAAAATATATGATACTAAAGTATGTCTTCATACTGATGGTTTATTAAACATAATTTCATGTCAGGCTGCTCTGTTAGGACTTTGTGTTTGCTATGCAGATATGATGTACAAAAACTACTTCGGCATACTGATATACATGAATCAGCAAATAAGAAAACTCTGGGCATGCTCCATGCTTTCATAAGCATACATTCTGTATATATATCTGTTTGCTACAACAATTAATTTTGCTGTATCTCATTCAGCTCTTTTAGCATATTTTATGTTAGAAATAATTTAAGTAATTGTAATTGCATTTATAATCATATTTACATTTTTAAAAATCCAAATAAGTTCAATGAGTTTATTCACAGACAAGGTTGTGTAATAAAAGCTTATATTGCTATCCTCTTTCTTGCACACACTAGTGCAGTGCCTCAGATGTGCGGTATGCGAGAGAATTTTTATAACTTCTAGAGCAGGGGTGTCAAACTGCCAGCCTGCAGGCCGGTTTCATCATACCGGAGCCGCGTCCACCCCATTGCCGGCAATGGCGAAAAAGCTCCGATATGTCGCGCGACATCACGTGACTCACGAGTTTGACATGCCTGTTATAGAGCATCTTTCAAGTATGAATGCTAAAAAGAAAATGAATATGATACATTACTAATCTCATTAGTGAATGCTGTAAATGAAAGTGGATACGGTCCCAAACGTTTGAAAACTTACAGAAAATAGGTCTTACATTAATTACCTTAACACTTAATATAATGTAGAGGCTTTAATCAAGCCTGGACTTTTCCTTAAAATTATCTTCTGTTTCACTCCCCAATCAGTATAATATATTAAATAAATTAAATTAAATTAAATTAAATATATTATGGAAAAGGAAGTTATGCTTCCAACAGCTGAATAAATTATCTGTAATAGCACATTTTAAACAATGCTAGTAAATTAAAATATTCCCAAGATATAAAGAAGTTATTGTTGTTGTTATTATTATTAAATATCTCATTTAAAATATTAATTCCTTCAATATTAACTTTCATTTTCATTCCATTACTTAATCCTATCTTTTTTGTAAATATTTTTTTTGTATTTTAATCATTATCATTATCATTTTAAAAGGTTTGGCCCAAGCAAAGATAAATGATCCTTAGTCTTTTTCTTAATTTTTCTTGATTTAAAATAATTCTATATTGCTTCCAGTTAAAAAAAGAATCTCAGAGCCGTTTACAATTTAAAATTATAGATAAAAATTTATATCATACATTAAAATATTTTTTTTAATTTAAATTTGCAATACAAAAATGAAAAATAAAATAAAACTAAGCAGTGATGGAAATTTCTTGTAGACAGTAGGGTTGCCAGGTGTCCACTATTTGAGTGGACAGTCCACTTTTTTCACATTATGTTCACTATTTTTTTCCACAAAATAGTGGACATTTTTTTTATTCAAAAGCTTTATGATGAAATGGTACGTAATCTAAAGCTGTACAGTCTACTTTTTTTACTACTTAAACACCCCCCCCCCCCGCTTGTCTGCTATTTTTGGGAAGCAGACCTGGCAACCCTAGTAGACAGGTGGTATTTTATATTATTTTTAAGGTAGGTTTTAATTGTTTTTATATAGACAAAAGTTTAAACATTTTTATACTATTGTTCTAATTGTGCTACGATTGTGACCAAAATAATATTTCTGTGCTATGCATTGGAGCACTTCTCTCTCACTTTAGAAGTTAAATAAGTTGTTGATAAAAACACAAGATGGTGAAGGCAAAATGATTTATATTTCCCTGTTAAAATTAATTTAAAATACCATGTTGGGAAAAATATAGGAGGTAAAATTGTATATAATTTCAACTATAGGTTAAATTCCTTTTTAGATCTAAAACATGGTTATTCAGATTTTTGGCTTTTCTGGGCTGCATTGAGTGGAAAGCAATTGGCCTGTAAAATATATAATATAGTTAATGTATATAAATAATAAACATCCTTTTTAATATATTTTTATTGTCGTGCAGCTGCATTACTAACTGTCCAGGGTTGCATGGGGTCTGTGGGCCATAGGTTGGACATGCCTGATCTAAAAGATTTATTTATAGATGATTTGTACTGAATACTTTTTTAGAAGTTATATGAATATGACTAGTTGATTCCTTCATTTCTCTTCAAAGATGTCGGTCATTGTTAGTGTTGCTGAATGATTGGCCTAAAATAGCTACAAGCATCTGTGATTCCTCGGTTATATGCTAGTGAATGTGACTTTTGAGTATAGATTATAGAATATGCAATCATTACTGTAATTGAAAGTCTTTACAGGCTTGTTTTTATTTTTGTTGAAATTTTTTCTACAGTTTATAATATATAATTGTTCTATAATGTAGGGGTAAAGTATCTGGAAAAACAAGAACAAATAAGGTGACATTATGAATGCCTTCAGTACTTTAACATTTGTGTTATTGAAATGTTTGTTTTCAATGTTTAGGAGCATTTTATAATACTGTAATATTCAAGATTTTACTTTAGAACTGTAATGTTTAAAATTTACTCACATGTGTTAAGGAGTAAAAAAGCATTAATATACAAGTTAGTTTTAATCTTAACTGTGATCATTGCTCCGTTTTTAAAAATCTCTCTTTTTAAAACATTAAACATGAAAGGATTCAGTGTGCCATGTGATTACCAAGAACTTTAGCTAATGTTAAAATTCCAATATCAAGTTGTATGAGCAAAGTACTTCAGAAACTTTTATATAATCAGCCAGTTCTAAATCCCATCCTGTAATTTTTGGCTCTCATTAGGAAAGTATTAGGCAACAAGGAAAGGAAAAGGAAGGGAAGCTTGCAAATTTATTACTATTGAGGCAATGGGAGAATAGTTCAAACCACTTCAAATTCTAAACATGTCTGCTTTTATCTTGAGTTCCTTAAAAACTGCTTTGTGAACAACTTCAATTACAGGATGTTTAATTTCATGAAAACCTGCTTGCCGTTTTCCTATACTGGACCATGTAGCTGTGTGATAAGAGAACACTTGGCCTTGTTTTCATTGCCTGTGTATCATGATATATAACCATGTCAGCCTTATAATATTTATTTAAGTTGCAAGCTAGAAGATAGAGTCATTGAAATATTAGATCTCATTATGGATTATTTCATGTTGCAGCTGCTGTTAGTAAAGTAACTATGGTTGAGAAGATAATAGTATTTGTTTTGTAGATTTCCTATCGGCATATCTATCTGAACAGAGAAATTCAAAGTTAAAATGTCTTAGCAATTATACTGTAAGCGTCTTAATTATATGCATAAAATGTTTTTTTTTAAGTATCTTAACTATCAGATAAGGAAGTTGCCTCCATCTTTGGAAGACTTGATCTTCTAATATACTGCTACCGGCAAAAGAAGAAGGTGATTTTATCTGATTTATTTCTCTCTGCAATCCTTACTTGTCCTCAGGGAAGGCTGAGGATTCTCTGAAACAGCAT